TTTTTTTAATATTTTTTTTTCAACGTTTTTTATTTATTTTTGGGACAGAGAGAGACAGAGCATGAACAGGGGAGGGGCAGAGAGAGAGGGAGACAGAGAATCAGAAGCCATCAGCCCAGAGCCCGACGCGGGGCTCGAACTCATGGACCGCGAGATCGTGACCTGGCTGAAGTCGGACGCTTAACCGACTGCGCCACCCAGGCGCCCCTTTTTCACTATATTTTGAATGCCACTTCCTGGGGACACCCCTCTCTACCCTATCCGTCATACTCCTGGAAAAAGTCAGGAACCACCTTCTTCTTCCAGTTTCACTCCTAATTGAAATAAAAGCACTCACCAACCCCGAGTTAGCCTTCCAGAGAAGCGGGTATTTGTAAACGGAGGCCTTGGGAGGAGGCTGTCAGCCTTCCGTTCCCCGGTGAGGATGCTCCATATCACAGATTCATGAATTATTATCTGCCTCACACTCCACCGTCTGCTAATTTAGCTTCTGAGCCTTCAGAGAGTCTCATATAGGAGGGACAAACCTGAGATTGCTCACGACCCCCACCTGGGGCCCTGACACCAAGGCTGAGCCTGGGCTGACACCACACCAGGTGACCTGCCCCACCCACCATGGGCAGAGGGCTGCTTCTTGCATTTTGGTTTGAAAACGCCACAGAGCACATGAAATTCCAAGTCTGTTTGTAGAGGTTTCATTGGCAGAAGGAACTCCAGGAGTAGGAGGAGAGGGTGGGGATGGGAGGGAGAAAAATGGAGGAGAATGCGGATTGATGCATCTTTGGATGCTTCTTTACGGTAGGATCAGACAAATGAAGACAATCCAAGCAAGGCCAGCACCATGCCCAGAGAGCACGGCTGGGCTCCTGCCTGTGCCATTACCTTAGATTGAGAGGCTCCTCCGTGATGCCTTTCCCTTTCAAGCTGGGCTGGAAAGAGCAGAAGCTAAACAAAAAAGGAAAAGATCATTCCAGCAGCAGAGTCAAGACTCTTCCACCATCAGAGAGACATTTTTGGTGCCAGTCAAGAGGTAGGGTGCAGACTTGCCCCTCCCATCCCCCATCCTGTCCCCAGGGCATGAACACCAGACCCAGGTGCACCTCTGAGGCAGGCCCTCAGCATCCCCTGGCATTATACACTCTGGCCTTAATAAAAATGGTAATAAAACATTAAAATAAAGCCATGTATGTGTTTTGGATACCTCCTCTGGGCCAGGCACTTGACAATCCTCCCATTGCCAATTCCAGCAACCACTGAAAATGCCATCTAATTTAAGGCTCCTTGAGGCAAAGTCATGGAGGGGATGGCCAACATTCACTGCCTGAGCGAGGGATATATAAAACTTCTAGACTAACTGTGACAAACTGTGCTTAACATACAGAAATCACAGGGAGAAATGGATGTGAGGTACAGCCTGGCACTATCTACCTCCTCAGTTGTGTCTAAAATGGAACTTGAAGAAAATTTTGGGAGGCAATATAACAGCGCCCCTTGGAGGCGCCTCAGAGGAAGGCTCACAGTCAATGGAAATGTGCCCAGAGCTGGCGCAAACAGCCTCTCTGCAGGAGTTGTTTTCTCCATTCTGGCCCTGCCCTTTGGACCCAGCAGCTGGTTGGAGTGCCAGTGACTGGCCAGGGCCAACAGGAAGACAAGGCTAGAACTTCTGAGCACAAAATGGGGCTTCCCAGACTGGGGGTGTCAAATATCACCTCAGAACTCCCAACCCAAAGTGGAGCGGAACATACCCTCCCCCAACTTCTGTTAATACACTTTCTGTGTTGTCTGTCTATGGCTAGGAACCTGCTTTCCTTTCTAGCCCTTCTAGATTCTCCACAGATCTATTTATCTGTAACTTCAATAATAATGAAAAAAAAATAACCGTTAGAACTAAAAAATTTTAAACACTAGCATAGATTTCTTGGACTGATTCATTAATCTATTTGAAGAAAGAAGTTAAACTAAAACAGCAGGCTTCTCTCTTTAAAGAAAGAAAAAAGATGTTCCATGAAGAAGTGGGAAATCAGTTGTTTGGAATTCTTTCCAGTGAAATATGAAATTGGAACAACTAAAATTGGCAACTGGGATCAAAAAGAAAAGATTAAGCCAAAAAAAATTATTTGGAAAATTAAAAAGCCAAGCCAGAAAATTCTGGAAGGCCCATTAAACAGCCAGCTTCTTAAATGTGTTGTGTCTGCACAAGTTTTTCCCCCTTTAGTCATTACTGTCCTAAACCACTTCAGTCCATGAAATGGAGCCTGTTTCTTGGATTTAGGGAAGGCATTTCTGCATCTTTTTCTATACTTCATCCCATGATTCAATAGCTTCGTATGTCAGTAGGTTCTTCCCATGTCTGATCTAAATCTTGCTTGCTGTGGGTTGAGAACAGTTCTCCTGAGAACAGAGCTGAGCTGTCTTTGTCCTGTTCTCAGTTCATGATCAGTTTTCTCCGAGGAGGATTTTCAAACCCTTACCTTTTGAAGACCTTACTCCGATCGCTGTTGTGAAAGACAAGAAACTTGGAATATCCATTTTGGAAAAAGAGCTCCAGGGCAATGTCCTATAAAGAGGAGAAATCCCTTTCATTGCTACTGAAGTTGCCTGAAATGGAGAAACCCAGGCCACAGAGCCACTAGCAATGGGTCATTTGGTTCTCTGTGTCAGACAACCCTTTCTGGTTGGTTCTTCCAACCTTCTAAAGGGGTACAAAGACTTTAGTGACACTAATGAAGGGAGTCCCCACAAAATTGGTAGGAGGGCAGGAGGGCCTCAGACTTCCTTTGACTGAAGCAGGAAGCAAGAGCCCCACTCCCAGGATAAGCCAGATAAGGAATAGACAGAGGGAGGAAAGGGCCTGGTGATACCTTCAGACTCCTCCACTTCTGGGTCACAAGTTTGGTTTCCTGAACCAGAGACTCACCTCATCAGAAATATTAGGGGATGGGTAGATGGGGGGGTGGCTGGGTGCATCTCACAATCTGGGCAACACTGTATGTTGACCTATAGACCTGCAGGCACAGGGTGCTTTGCCAAACTTGTTTTGCAGAGCCATTTTGATGTGGCCATGCTGACATGGCAAAGGTATTTTGTTAATGCCTAATTGAACTCTACATAATTTCTTTTCCCTCCTCCCTCCCTGTCTCCCTTCCTTCTCATCCAAGCTGTGTAAATAACGGACTTGGAACAGCCATAGAGAAGAGTCTACATGTAGGATGAGGCTCACGGATGAGACCAGGTCAGGGAGAGAATTCTGAGGGCTGGCTGGGGCAGGGGTGGGGGGTGGTGGTGCTGGGCATGGAGGAAGGCGCTGCATCTGACAACCGAGTCAGGTCCCGTTTCTACCTGACTGGTAGTGCTCCCAAAGTCCAGTTCTGGGCTCCGGAGCAGAGGGAAAGTATTTGTGATGATAGCATAACCCCCTCTGACAGGGTCGGGGTGCATATGGGAGCCCTGCATATTTTTCTACAATAGAAATATAAACACTGTGCAAAGCAGATGATCAGTGCAGATGTAATGGCTTCCCCCGGCAACCTTGAGCACCCAAGATCTGACTTTCTCCTAGGGGAACCCAAGAGAGATGAGGGCCATGCTCACAAGCTTTCCCCGCCCCTAACTCCCACACTACTTGGCCCTGCTCACAAGCTCTCCCGCTTCTCCTTTTCACCACTGTCAGGCTAACCGAACATCTGGAAACAATCACTGTTTACTGAGGGGAAAGAAACTCACTTGCTGATACCTATGTGCTACTATATATAATCTATAAGGTAGACACAATCATAAAATAATAATTTTGAGTATTTAGATGCGCCAAAAAGTGTTCTGAGTGCTATACATGTAATGGTGGAAGAGACAAGACGTGGTTGCCTGTGCTCAAACATGCTACAGTGTCAGGGCCATGGTCTGGACTAGGCCCATGCTAGCCACACTGTCTAGAACTCTCAGGGTGGGGCTTCTTCCAGTTTTCCCCTTCTAGTTTACTGTCCTTGCAAGGAAGCGCACTAAGGTCGGGCAAGATGAGAACCAACACTTTGTGGGCAAAATCAGTGGAGAGGGAGGAAGAGGGCTCGTTGGATTCCAGCAGCTTGCTGATCCTTTCGAGAATGAGCCCCCTAGAAAGGCCCCCCTGAGCTTCAGTGTCAGAAAATAGTGAGAAGGCCCCCAGGCAGGAGGATCACAGGATGAATTATAGACCCAAAGACATTACAGATAAAACACTCATTACTAGGTTGATTAGGGCCAACCCCATCCCCCATTGGCCTTAGCAGAACAGAGACTCTCCAGAAAGGATGGAAGAAGGTTTGGGTCCCTCCCCTCCCACAAGGGTGGTCCCTCCTCTCTTCCTGTTCCTCTGTCAGATGCCTGGGAGGCCTTCGGATGCAGCTTCGATGCTGTAAGGCTGGGCTGGAGAGGCCCAGATGTGTCTGCGGCCAGCAGGGGCTCCTCCCTCCGCACCTGAAGTGAAAAGTCTCAGCAAAGCCCTGACTCTGAAGGGTACTGGCTCTGTTAGCCCCTCGTGAGCCCTTGAAGGCACTGGGTGAAGCTCTGGGACCCTGGTTGGAGGGGACAATCAAGAGATCTCCAAACCACTTGACCCAGGAAGTGCCCAGGAGCTTGAAGATGGTTGAACTTGTGTGGAGGGCAGAGGGGAGGGGCAGAAGTCAGCAGAGGGGTCCACAGGCTCAGATAGGGCAGGCTGACCCTTGACTCTTAGTCTTCAGCTCTGCCACGGGGCAACAGAGCTGTCCTGTCCTGTATTCCAGCATCTCCAAGGTCGCTCTGGGACGTGTCAAGGGAAAAGGAAAGCAAAGAGACTGGATCCTAAATGACACAGTAAGAGAGAGAAGGTCCCAGCAGCCAAACAGGAGGAAATGGGGAGAGAATGAAGCAGACTTCAGTACTGCCAGCCTGGAAGCCAGGCCCAACATCAGCCAGCGGACTCACAGATGTGTCCCAAAGGCACTGGGCTATGCACAGGTGTGAAGGGGGTCATGGAGGTGTCCCGCACTTTCAGATGGGGCCTCCATAGCACCTAGATGCTTTTCCATGAAAAGATGGTTCTCCCTCTTGCCCCCTCCCCGGGGCATACCTGCAGGAGGAAGCGTGCCTGCCGGAGCTCCCTGAGGTCCCCATAGCTATGTCTCTGGCACGAGTAGTGGTCGGAGGACCTGTCTTTGCTGCACATGTTGAAAATGAATGGATCGCTGATGCTGAAAAGGAAACACGACATGCAGTGAGAGGGTGTCTGGAGGGCTTGTTCCCCTTCCTGCCCCGCGACATCCTGGACCCCATGTTTCTGGAGACACTGCAGGAAGAGTGCTGCAATCATGACCAGCTAGGGTGCTGGCACCGCTGACTGCTAAACCCTTTCTGAGTTCCTGCCTGGGTCGGCCCTGCCCTGGCGCAGGGTGGGGCATCCGTGTCACCGGGTGAGGCGACAGCCTCCAGGGCAGACAGTGGCACAGGATGCAAGGGGTGAGTGTAAGAAGGCTCTCTAGGTGTAGGGTCGAGGGGGTGGAGAAGAGTGAAAGAGACACCCCATTACACATGGAGAAATTTCAGGCCAGAAGGCAGGGGCAGAAAGATGATGAGCCTCCATAAAAAAGCCTGGCTTCAGCAACATGGGGTCTGGGGTGGCCCAGCCACGTGGATGGCATCTAGAGTACCAGGGGAGAAACCCTGGTACTCAGCAGAGAACCCCTGAGCCCCAAAGAGGTGTGCAGCGGGCTGAGAGCACTGGTGGGCTGGAGGATACTGGCCACAGCATCAGCGGTGGCCCCCTGGAGCCCCGACCCAGAGCCAGGAGCCCCCTCAGAGGTCAGAACGACTCTCCCGTGGGAAGAGAGGGAGAGGGGAGAAAGGGAGAACTGTGCATTTGACTAAGATTTATCCCATAGAGGACAACCTGTGCAATGCAAGTAACGGAAACACCTTTTGGTAACCAGATAAAGTTTTTCACCACCAATATGAATGGGGACTTGAGACATAAAACTGATTTCAGGTATAGAGTTACATTTCTGAACTTCTGAGTTATGTAGCATAGTTAAACTGTGTATGTGACTGCAAAAGCTCTGATCAAATGCCTTTTGGGAACTTGAGCAACAAGGGGCCTCCCAGGCACCCCAGTCCCCAAGAAGCCTGTGTATCAACTACAGATATGAGGAGCCAAGAACTGAAAGAGCCCCCGCAGCAGCACAAGGTGGCGGCGATGGCTGCTATCTCCCCTCCTCGCCACCCCGGCTCCAAGTGTGGCCCTCCCCACCCAGCCTACGGAGCAGGACACCAGGCCTCCGAGCCACCCTTCCCAGGGGAAGCAGACAGATCGGTTTGTCACACTGGTCAGCAGCGCTTCTCTAGTCACGGGTCAGTGGGGGTGGCCGGGCGTCTGCAGTGCTGAGGGCGTGCCCTTGAGCACAATGCAGAAACGTTCCGCCTGAAGGCTTAGCCTCCTGAACAGCCAGCCCTCCAGGATGGGAACTCAGCCCTTTGCAGCTCCTCCTGCCCCTTCTAAGCGCAAGCCTCTCAGATCTCTGCCTTGAGCCACATTACTGTAGAACCCATCAAATACAAAGGTGGGTTTGGTTCTGGATACTTCTGCCTAGGTGCTTTAATTCAAATCTTCCGGCTAAGGCTCTTTGTCCCTGCCATCAGGGGTAAGCTGAGTTTCTGCTGAACTTCGCTGACTCCCCATGGGGCCGTGGTGGTAATTCTCGTTCCTACTCCCAGCTTAGGTCAACCAGCATCTCCGGTCAAGGCACTGGTGAGAATGGCAGTGGCATTGCCTCCGTGCTCCCGTAGCCCCTTGCTTGCGGGAACCACAGCAAACATCATCTGTGCTTTAGCCACACATTTGGTTCTTTTCCCAGCAGACTATGAGTGAGTTCCCTGGGGCACGGACCTGTGCCCATGGCTCTCCACCCTCCACATCTTCCCCAGAGCTCTGGGCATGTTTGTTGAGTGGATTGACAAGCATCAGGCCCTACAGCCTGCCAAGCACATCCTGTCTGTTGTTTAATTTAAACCTCATAACCTCCTTACAGAGCATGTGCCATTAGTATTCCCATATCAGAAATGAGGAAACTGCATTCCAAAGAGGAAAAGTGACTTTTCCAAGGTCACATGGAACTGGTTTCAAACCCAGGTCCTCTGACTCTAAAACTGAAGCTCATTCATCAGTACCCTATCTCCTCTGAGGCCGAAAGACCCACTAGCTTTTACAGAGCTCTCCCTGCAAGCTCACTCCTTGCAGCTCCCTCTGTGCTGACTGATCCTGCAACCCAGCACTCTGAGACACTGATGACGTGAGGAAGAATGTTCTGGAAAATGCTTTCAGGAAGGAGCTTTTAGGAGGAAATGCATTTATTTTTCTCCTACTTGTAGAGATAGAATAACCTGATATGGCAGGAATGCTCAGACAGACCCAAATGCTCAGGAAGACAAAATTGTAAAAAACGTTACTGAGTTCACTGATGTGAGTCCAGGTTGAAGTTCCATCTTATCTAGTGTTAGTCACACAGCTATGACTGGGTCTCTTTGCCAACACTGTATTCTCCCTGTTCTGTGCATTAAGGCAGAGTTCAGGCCCTTAAGGCCAATGGGTAAAAGAAAGGAGGAGCTGATTCATGTCCTTCTTTAGATGGAGCTGTGGCCACAGTTTATAGGATGCTATTCACTACTCTTTTGCATGACAGCTATCATGATAAATGTAAGTTTGCCACAGTGGTTACAGTATCCTTTTTAATATTCTTAACTAGGGAAACCACAGTAAACCAAGTGGTAATCCTATTGGCTGACCTGGTCTTTGGTAGTAAAAGTGGACTTCAGACTAAAATATTTGAAGTTATTTCTGAGCTAATCCAATTATTGTCAGAATTTATACCTGTAATTTATACCCAGAATCATTCACTAGATCATAAACTCTACCAGACTCAGCCCACATCTGACTTATCTCTTTGTGTGTATGGAGTCAACCACAGTTGCCTGGCACAATACAGATTTCCAGTATTTGTTGAATTGAAGTAAACAGAGAAATGATGCCTCAGAACTGTTGACTGATGTGGAGAAAATGTCTTATTATAAGTACCCTATCACAAAGAGCCAGTTGGATGGCTTGGATTCCAACAAAATGAATCAAATGTTGTATACCTTGTGAGCTTGCCTGACACTATTATGGGTAGAGTAGTGTCCTCCAAGAGGGATATGCTATATGTTGAAATACTAACCCCCAGTATCTCAGAATGTGGCTTTTTTTAAATTTTAAATTTTTTTTTCAACGTTTATTTATTTTTGGGACAGAGAGAGACAGAGAGCATGAACGGGGGAGGGGCAGAGAGAGAGGGAGACACAGAATCGGAAACAGGCTCCAGGCTCTGAGCCATCAGCCCAGAGCCTGACGCGGGGCTCGAACTCACGGACCGCGAGATCGTGACCTGGCTGAAGTCGGACGCTTAACCGACTGCGCCACCCAGGCGCCCCTTAAATTTTAGAAATAGGGTGTTTACAGAGGTAATAATGTTAAAATGAGGTCAAGATTGGCCCTAATCCAATATGACTGGTGTCCTTAAACAAAGGGGAAATTTAGACCCAGAGACAGACAGACAGACACACACACACACACACACACACACACACACACACACACACAGGGAAGATCTCATGACACACAGACATAAGGTGGCCATGTGACTGGAATGATGTGTCTCCAAGCCAAGAAAAGGCAAGGGCTGCAGGGAAACACCAGAGGCTATGAGGCAAGGAAGGATCCTCTCCAAGAACTGGAGAGAGACCATGGCCCTGCTGACACCTTGATTTTGGCCTTCTAGCTTCCAGAATTGGGAGACAATAAATTTGTTTTTTTAAGCCACCCAATTTTTGGTACTTTGTTATATAGCCTTAGGGAACAAATACAATCATTCTATTCAGGTAATGGGCAATCTCACTGAAAGCAAAATAAACCATCTAGAAAGGTCCTTACCTTCTGAGCAAAGCTCCAAAGTACTCAAGTGCAATCAATGTTGGAGGATTTGCATTGTTCCTGAGTTTTATTTGGGATATTTTTATGGTGCATCAGAGAGCTTCTTTCAAGGTCTAGTGCTCAACTCTACTCAATTTGATGGCAGTCTTTTAAAGAAACATTTCAGGGTTGCGTTAGCTTTATTTTTAACTTGCTTATTTATGTATCTTCCTTAGTCTCCATGGTCAAAATAAGACTTAATCCCCATTGATCTCACATGATCTAATAGCTGGTCTCTGAGAACCGCATCTCCATGAGTGCCAGAAGTTTCTTAAGGCAGCAGACAAGACCTCAGAGAGAAAGCACTGTCTGGTTAACAAATACTTCTTTGAGGTCTGGTGACTAAAATTACCTAAGCAATTCCCAAATGATACTCCAGGGTAGTAATTTGTTCTCACTGCACTCCTACTCGCATTCTAGAAAAATACATTTCCAGACATGGGAAGTCTCCTTTGTCATTGCAAATCAAGTGAGTACCTACAACCCGACAACTGGGCTTCTATTAAAAGTGCAGATGTAGCCAATTTGATCATGATTAGATGCACCGCATAAACACAATTTGCCTAATCAATAACATCTTCTCTAACACTAACTCGATTTAAACCAGAGGTGGAGAGTGAAGCAATGGATTATGCAAGTCATTACAGGGGCATGCCATGCAGATAGGTAGACGAGAAAGCTTTCATCAGCTCTCAGAAAGGCAAATCTGCAGACCCATTGTCCGTATTGATCAGTATCAATAAAACATGAGGAATAAGATGGGATGCATGTGCCAAGGATTAATTATGCTCCTCCTGCCTTGGAAAAGCACAGAAGACTCGCAGCAACCGGTGAACATTTGGTATGAATAAAAGATGCAAATGAGCAGAAAGAAAAATGCCAAGCATTTTAAAGCAAATCTAAATCAAAGGAGGGTGGGCTGACATTTATTCTTTCACACTCCTTGAACTCTTGCTTCCTGCCATAGGCTGGAAATGATAACGACAACCAGGAGTTAAAATTTTTAAGTTATTGGCAGGAAAGGCTCTGGTGCTTCTATCGATAGTCTAAAACAGTGGTTCTCAAAGCATGGTCCCACACCAGAAGCATCAGCATCACCCAACAACTTGTTAAAATCTCAGGCCCTCCAGCAGATCTATCAAAGTGGAAACTGGGGTGAAGGTGGGTTCCCAGAAGTCTGTTTAAACTAGCCCTCAAGGTGACTTGATACTAGTTTAAGAGCTTCCGGGTGAAGAGGTTATCTTGTCATCATTTGAACCTTTGCTAAACCAGAAAAGTCAAGAAATCTTCATCCTTGTTTGTTGTGATGATCAAATGTGATGATCAGGTGGGGCATATTACCTGACAACTGAGCTCCTAGCCAAAGTGTGAATAAAGTCAATCTGACTTTGAATGAATGGCTGTACATTATGAACACAAGAGAATTAACCAAGGAGAGCTACCTGAACAAATACACTTGATTATAAAGAAGGACTTCTGAATTTCCTGCCAAAGACCTCTGGTATTCGTTGGCGTAAAAAAAAAAAAAAAAAAAAAAAAAAAAGACTTGTCTGAGTTCTACCCAAATCCCAGCCATGTTTCAGAACCAAGATCTCAGCCTCCCTCCTCCAGTAGCCCTCCCTCACCACACTAGCCCCACGTCATCAAGTGTGATCCCAGAAGGCTCCTCTCGCAATAAATTTGTGATGTCAGTGTGCTCGAAACTCTTTCCAAAAGAACCCATTTGTGCTGCTGAGTGCACTCACTCAGCACAAGGGCCACCGTCTGATGGTTCTCACAGAAGGAGCAATTGACAAGCTGTTGAATGAGCAAGCTGATGGGACTGGATTCAATCACCAAAATAACCTAAGGAGAGAAGCCCCCTTGTCTTGAGGTGCGCCCCATATCACGAGAGGTATGGGGAGCAGTCCCATTGTTACCCACCCCAAACTTCAGCTTTGGGAAGCCACAGTCATGGATGCCTATGTCTCAGTTCTTCTATTCTAGCTCATGGCTCCGTTTCAGGCACAAATGTCAGCCCACAAAGAGAACAAGGTGGGCAGGGTAGGAGTAGGGGTGGCTGAGAAGGAAGTTAAGGCTCAGGGAAGAATCTGCTGGGGGAAGCAGGGAACTCACTTGGATAAGCAGTGGCGGGTACAGTAGACATCACCCACAGGGGACAGCGTGAAGTTCTCACAGATGTAGAAGTGCTGATGGCCAAAAAGCAGGATCCCTTCGGAGACCAGGTGGCCCTGCACGATCACCAGGGAGTACTTCTGTGTCACCTGGAGGGAAACAGCGTCACGGTCAGTTCGTGTGCATGTGAAGCAGGCCCATCATGCTTATGGATGACCAGTCACCCACTGAGACACTGGACGTCAGAGTAGCGCCCTGTAAGAGGGACAGAGCCACTGCCCGAGAGCTGCCCTGCTCTTCAGAGTTTAAGTGGCACATCTACACCCAACACCCTGTGTAGTTACCTCATTTACCCAAGGCCACCACTACCCCCACCAAGATGAGTATTTATTGCTGTTTTGGGCATATTGACAATCTGTCTCACTTTACCTCCTGCACAATCATGCAAAACATTCTGCAGTTAACAATGAGGAAGGTTTTTAAGGTACCAGCATCCCTCAGTTACAGAGGTGAAGGAGCTTGTCAGGGGGTCAGCTGGTGAGTGGCCGAGCCAGGAGTGGAACTGGTCTGCCTAGACCCACAAGTGTTGAGACTGATACTGCTGTCTCTGCAAGGCCAAGGCTAGTCCAAGGTGTGTGCAGAGGAGGCCCATGCTCTATCCCTCCTTTCAGACTCAGGTTCTTCTCTCAGTGGCTGGAAATGCTGGCAGCTTTCCAGAATTACCTCTGGTAAAGAGAAAGCCTGGCCAAAGGTCACGCCCCCTTCCCAGTGGCTGTCTGTACCCAACATCTGGTCACTGTAGAGCTGGAAGAGTCACCCTTTGCCTCAATTCCAGCCGACTCTGAAGAATCACTCCAGACCTCAAGCTTCTGTGGAATCATAGAGGCCTTTGCTGAGAGCCTCAGAGTTGCCTTTCTCCCTCTGCCCGATCCTGTGATTATCCCTCCTGGTGAACTTCCTGCATACACACCTCTGATCCGTAGTTGGCTTCCGGGGGGGCCTGACCTGGGACAATGTCTTGGTATGACCCAGAGTCCTACAGGAAGTCAGGACTAAGTGGGTCCTCACATGAAACACTTCCCTGAACAAGTGAGGAAAGAAATGAATTCTAGACAACAGGAACCCAAACGGACCAAGAGCAAGGCCAAGGCCAACATTTTCTCAGGGCAATTCTATGCTAATTCCAGTTACACAAAAGAGGAACTGATTTTTTTCAACTACGTAACATATGGCCATTGTAAACATTTTACACGTATTAACCAATATAATCCTTTCAATCAGGCAAGGGAGATTTTACTACTGGGGGAAAAAAAAAGGTCCCAGAGATAAAAATCTCACCCAAGATTAGTCACATAGTAAGTGGCTGAGCCTGGGATTGAAGCTAAGCTCCCTGCTCACCATTGGGAGAAATAATAGGACCACAGTGATGAAATCTGGAAAGCAGGCCTTGAACACCAGTTCTCCAACTCGTGCATCAAATGGGATCAAAGTCAGGGCCAAGGCCAGAAAATGAAGATCCGCCAAGGGTTTTTGGTTCCAAGTTAAGCATTACCCACTGTGATCCAGGGAAAGTCATCTCTGAACTATTTTTCCTAAGTGAGAACTAGCTAATTATCCTGGCTCCTAAAACCCAAGCCTTCTGCAGGCTGCTGGCTCCCAGGCCTCTCCTGCATCCACCTTGTCAGAGGAGCTGGCCCTCAACCTGCCTGCAGAGCCACGATTTACCACGGACGCATTTCCAACTTTGTTCATTCATCCATACGGCCATCTATTCACAAGTTTGGACTCAGCACCTACTGTATGCCAGGCCCTGAGCTAGGCTTTGGGGACAGAGGCATGGACAAGATAAACAAGAACCCTATCCTCACAGGGCTTAAAATCTAGGGGGAAAATCTACCCCCTACTAGGGGGTAGTAGGCATGCAACATCAACCAATAAATGATCACAAATTGTGCTATGTGCTGAGAGAGAAACAATAGGCTGATAACAAGGAAGAGAGAAGCTTGTAGGGACACTTTTACACAAACTCTGAGACTTGATTTATGGAAGTGGGGCAGCCATGGAAAACTCAGAGAACACTTCAGGGGAAAAGAACATCCAGTCCAGAGCCTAGAGACAGAAAGGGTAGATCTGGGGAACAGAAAAGAGGTCAGAGTGGCTGAATTGAAGTTGAGAAGTAGGCATGCTTAGATCTGGGGAGGGGCCTGGAATCTTGGTAAGGCCATTGGGTTTTATTCTCGTTGCAATAGGAAGCCATGGGAGGGGTCATTTCTGAAAGAGGACACTGGCTGCTGGGTGCAGAGTAGATCCAAAGGAGCCAAGAGCAGGTGGTCAGTCACATGGCTCTTCCCGTAGTCCTGTGGAAGAATGGTGGCTTGGGATAGGGTGGCAGAGGCAAATGGGAAAAAGGAGACAAGTTGGGAAGCTAAGCAAGAAGGGGTAGAATCAACAAGAACTGCTACTCAACAGACTGGAAGACCAGTAATAACAATAATAATAATAGGAAGGATTGAGGATAAATGTCTACTTTGGGATGGAGGCAATTGAGTGGAGCCCTCCAGCTTCCCTGAAAGCCTTCCCCAGAGGCAATCACCATCACCACTTTATTGTATGGAAGGGTAGCCCATGTGCCACCCCAAAATACACCACTTTGTCCCGAGGATTGTTTTGCATCAAAGACACTTAAAACGACAGCAGGTACAGGAACAGCACTCTGGCCTACGCTTTTCTTCCTGAAAGCAAGGATAACTCCCAGGTGAAAAATGCCCTCCCTATATTAGGAGGAAACGAACACTCTTAGCACCAGAGACAGAGAGGTCAGACCTAGGGAAATCTGTACAAACAAACCTGGCTGGACAAACCCTTCCCTCCCTTGAGTCTCCCTGTATCTTTTAGTTACTTTTTCACAATTACTATACTTTGTTCAACCTAAGCACTTAGGCCCAACCACTTTTGGGGCTCTGCATTTTCCTGTGACGGCTCCCATGTACCTGTAAAAGTAAAATCCATATTATCCTTGTTAATCTGTCTTCTGTCACCTTAATTCTTAGGCCTGTTTGGAGCCTCTAATGGGGTAGGGGGAAAGTTGTAACTCTCCTACAGTATATACACTCAAAATAAGTATATTCTATACTTAAGAATGTATAAGATACTGTATACATATCCTTACATATACATATATCCATACATATACATATGTATATATATATATACATATAAGATACTGTATACATAAGCATAGCATATTCATATGCTTACTGTTCTACATCTAGTTTTTTCCCTTCATGGCCCATCTTGGAGACCCTTGCAAATCACTTCTTACACAGTTGTCTCCCTCTTATTAATAGGTACAGGCTATTTCCTTGCAAGGATGTACTAGAACTTAGTCGACCAATCCCCTATGGAATCAGGTTGTTTTCTAACGTTTGGGCATCACAAGCAATGCCGTGGTGACTATCCTTGTACCTATGTCCCTCAGAATACTCAGGTAAATCTGAAGGATGTATTTCTAGAAGTTGGACTGCAGACCAAGGGTGTGGGTATCTTAAATTCTCCTCTGTTGCCGGACTGCCCTCCTGCAAGGTGGTACCAATTTATATTCCCACCAGCCCCGTCAGAAGGGTTATGTGAGCTTATTTAAACTTTCTTCTCTAACCCTTTGTACAGAGGAGACTTCATCCTCAAGTTCACACAGTGAGATGTAGCACTGGTCTGTGCACCTCCAAACCTGTCCCCTCCCCCACAAAGCCCCACCCTCGCCCAACTTCTTTGGAGCCAACGGTAGGGGCTGGGGCACATTCCTATGATCTCCTGGGCTTTTTTTTGGGGGGGAATTAAGTAACAACCAGAATAAATCAAACCACAAGAAAGACGTCTGGTGAGAGCTGGGTTAATAGCTTAAAAATTGATTCTTCTAGAAAAGAATGGCATTTTAAAACCTAAAAAATGAGCCCAAGTGAACTACTACCAGCTCTTCCATTTAAATTAGCCCTGGGAGGGTTGCCTCCCCAAGTTTACTCATGATTAAGAAATCCCTCATGCCGTGATTCTATTGATCACTCCAAAAAGAGAGGAACTTCAGCTTCAGAAGTAGAATTTCTTTTTTTTTTTTTTAAGATCAGCTGGATAATATATTATCATTCCTGGCAGGTGGATAACTAAGTGTGTGGCCGCACCTGGCCTTGTGTATGATAAGAAACAGGTTGTCTGGAAATCCAAAACTCCCAGAGCTGAAGTTACAGGGGCAATAATTTGCTGGGACATTCCCTTGAAGCCCCTGCCAGCACATTCTCGTAGAGTCGGGCCTCAGTGTGCACATCTGCAAAAGGGGAAGGTCAGCTGGAGGCTCTTTGAAGTTCTTTCCAGTATCATTAGTCTGCAAGTTAGTGCAATGCCTGAATTTGATGGGTAGAAAAACAGACGCAGAGCTGTCCTGTGAGATATCCAGAGCAGAGCAGATGTGTACATTTCCTTATATTTGTATGCAAAATCTACTGCAAATAAAGCTTTAACCCTGCACACATGGGTCATGTGTCCCTTTTGTCCATCTTCTGCCTGCCTAGACCCTGCTGTCAATACATGTTGTTATACTGGCACATGGAATAAGTATCCTCATTTTTCAAAAAAGTTAAGCATCAAAACAGAGAGAGACTGTAAATTACATTTATGTTGGCTACGTGTGAACTCTGGCATCTTGATCACTTTTCAGTGGAGTATTTGGTCATAATAGTCATAAAAAAATGTATCTTTTTCTTATAAGAAATTTTTTTAATGTTTATTTAATTTAGAGAGAGAGAGAGGCAGACTGCAAGTGGGGGAAGAGCAGAGAGAAAGGGAGACACAAAATCAGAAGCAGGCTCCAGGCTCTGAGCTGTCAGCACAGAGCCCGACGCGGGGCTCGAACTCACGGACTGTGAGATCATGACCTGAGCCGAAGTCGGACACTCAACCAACTGAGCCACCCAGGTGCCCCAAAAATGTATCTTAAAACAATAAAAAGATACTATTTCTATATCAATTTGGCAAATCTGAGAGGAAATATAATGCTTGATAGCAGCTCATCTTTTCAGACAAGGAGCGGGGATGCCCCCTGCCTGCCTGCAGGCGCCACTTCCATGGGCAAGCCTGCAAAGAGCTGAGCCTCCCCGCC